GAATGAGATACTGCACCTAAATATTCTGCCTTTCAGAAACAAGCAGAACGAACCCTTGACGAGCAGTGTTGGAAGCCAAGGAGAATAGCTGACAACACAACGATCTGGACGCACGATTGTTCTCGGCCACTACTGTCCTGTGCAAACTGAACTGACTGACCTGACCTGAACGTTTTGAGGAACACATTGTGGACTTAGCCGAAACTAACTCTCGTGATTGGTTATTTAGACGCTCCCAGATGGAGGTGAGATTTCAATCGTATTATGTGCAATGTGTTTCAGTCGCAAGCACCTCCAATTGAAGACGCTAACGTTTGGGGCTTGGTTAGCTTAAAAAAAGGCAACAAGCGCAAACAGCAAAAAGTGCTCAATGATCTACGTCGCGAGACAAAAGTCTTGGAGGCAGTTGATGAAATCCAAAATGAGAAGAAAAATCGAAGAGTTGCTTTCCGGGGAGTTAAACGGCAGTTGACTCTGTGGAAAGGCCCTGTACTGAAGAACAGGTTGGCCGATCAACTGATTTTTCCACTGAACGACAATTCGGTAACCTTCGTCAACTCCGAAGAAGATCAACTTTTAAGAACTAAGGAACATATAAAAGACTCAAGGAAAGACTCTGAATCTCTCCAGGGTCAACTGTATGAAGCAATCTATCATAGATCTAAAAGGTACCTCAAATCGTTTCAGGTTTGTAAAAATGTTGCAGTGTTTTGAAACCGCGGCTAGCGGATAAAATAGGTGCCGAAGTTCGGAAAAAGTTATTAGAGAAAATTAATCAACGTGATAAAGAAAGGTTTATCGTTGCTCGCTCTGCCGCCCAGAATAAACGTCAAAATAAAATCAAAAGCAAAACTTTCCACCGACATCAGAAAAGGCGGCTTCTGAAAGAGTTTGAGAAAAACATGGAGGATATGAGAAAGAACGATCCAAAGGCGTTCGCTGAACGAATATTACAGGCTGAAGTTAACAGAGCCAAGGAACGTGCTAGCTTGCGTCATCGTGGCGGAAGTAAATTTGCTCGACTGCAAAAACTTCGAGCAAAATACGATACAGAAGTAAGTTACATTGTACTTGTGACAGTCCATCACAGATTTTAGGCCCGCAATGCTGTCGCCGAAATGAATGAACGTTCTCGAGAACTGACGAAGAAAAACGATTTGGATGATTCATCTGATAGCGAGGATTCTGACATTGATGTCACTTCAGAATCAGAATCTGATTCGGATGCTTCTTTGTTTGATGAGAATCATTCTTCAGAGAAAGAAGATGAAGACGATACAAAGAAACTTCTGTGGTGGCGTTCGGTTAGTCATTTTGCTCCATTTATAATGTCCATAATCTCTGTAATAATCCGTTGTCTCGCCTGGTGATTTTGTGTATAGTTGTTGAAACTGGCTCGTTACAGAAAGAAAACGTCTAGCGCGTCGAGGACGATTTTCTGGTGGTTTAAATTGCTGTTAGTGGAGTGCTTCTATCCAATGTTAGTTACCCAATCGTATGGTAACCAGTGCAGATGTCACCTGGCTTAATGCTCTTATCCCATTGGGTCCTTGAGTGGTTCTGTGCTGAACCCCTGCGCTTAAGTTACTCGTTCTGAACTGACTATGAAAAACCTACCTTCCATATTGTAAAGTAAAGGTAATGTATCGCAATGTATTCTTCTGCCTGATGATTCCGATTTTCGTCGAGATCGGTCGTTTAGAAAGCGTACTGCTTTTGAGACACCGAAAAATTCAGCTGAATCAATCGTTTTTTGGCCGATTGATACCCACTCAAGTGTGAATCATCCGTTTGTTTTATTTTAAAGAGTTGTCAACTTTGTAATTCCATGCTTTCGTTTTGCTTTTTGCATTAAACAGGTGGTCTGAAGGGAGCCAATTTGTAGGACAGTTTGACGATGAGATGTAGAATTTGATCACCTACATTTGATCACTTCATTTTGACCGACTTGCCCCTACGCAATAACGAGTTAGCCTCATAGATTCCTCCATAAAGAAACTTACGGGTGTGATGAGATATAACATCCTCAAGTCAACTCAAAATTTTTCTTCCAAAATGCAACTTCATCTCTTGTACAACCAAGTTTCACCTGTCGAACAAAAGGGTCTGGCCATAGTAGGTAGCTTCACTATCATTCTGTCTAATAAGCGGCATAAACTAGTGGGGCCTTATGTGGCTCGTAATTCCAAGTCCTGGGTTTAGGTTTCCGTTTTTCATGAGTGAGTTATGGGGTTGGCTCAGTCCTTTTAGCCAGCCAAAGTGGCAGCTGCAAATTCGCCTCACTCCCAGTCATCTTCGACCTTCTACATCTGCTTATTTAATGAAGTAGTATTCAGTTGCTCATAACTGGCCGCTCCTAACTGCGGTCTGTATACTCACTCTTTAGTGTACAGCTCCGCTTTTTTTAGGTTTGCAATTGTCCATCTTCTTCAGTATAATGTTCAACGGAAGACTCAAGGATCACTGAAAGCTCAATCAAGAGGCTATTCGAGTTTCCATCAAAACCGATTGATTCTAGCTCGATCAATGCACAGACGACGGGCCTCGGCTGCGTTACCAGCCCATCGCAGAGCCATTCTGTATACTGAATATGGCTACGTAACAATCCCTTAAACAGGAGCTCATCAAGAGCCCGAGGAATAACCGCGAGCAGCTGTGGGTTTTCAAGTATGGTTACGTATTTTCAACCACACTCTTCAAAAGCAGGATTAGTGAACTCATTCTCACATGAATGCTCCTCCATACTTCTCTTGCAGCATATCTTTGACTATGAGGTTTACTCTTTTTATTGTAAATCACGTTGTGTGACGTTTCACTGAAGTTGAAAATTCGAGTATACTGCGCTACTGTACGATCCATTCTGCTTTACGGTTGAGACCTTGAATTTGCGGATGGAAGACATCCGTCGTTTAGTGGTTTTCGAGTATCGATGCTTACGTAGTCTGGCCCAAGTGGGATGGTGTGAGCGGGTTAGTAACTCAGAGGTATGCCGTCGGGCGTTTGAGAAAACATTGAACAAGAACTCGCTATCGCATCGAATGCAGCTCGATAGGTTTCGTTGGTTGGACCACGGTTTGCGTATGTCCGACGGTCGCCTACCGCAACGCGCCTTATTCGCAGTGGCGGTGCAGACTGAAGAAAGCCACGTGGAGCCAGCAGATGACGTGGAGACGAGGCATGAAGAAATGCGCAGAGCGATTAGGTAGAGTTGGTGTCTTTCGTCTTCCGGATTGGAGTCCAAAAAGACTCCATAACCGCGTGGTTGGAGACACTGAAGGTCATGGCGGCAAACCGACAGCAATGGCGATCTTGCTGTCCCTTATCACACCAGAATGCTTGAAATAGTATGTATGCACAATTGAACTGTGTATTCTGTGTGTTGATCATAGAGGTTCGCTTTCTTTTCCCATCCCTAAAATAAGTCCAATCCCTACCCTCCTTACACATTCTCACTTACCTTATATGCAAAATGAGTTTAGCAGCGATCATTGTAGTTCGTCTCACTGTATTACACTATACAATGGTGATGAAATGATGGAAGGACAGCCACATCATTTCCGCAAATGCACCAACCAACTGTAGTCTCACTGTACAAAAAGACGAATTTTACGACAAACTCGTTAAACTCATTCGGTGGAGCCATAGCTCTGATATTATATTTCTGGCAGGTGATTTCAACACGTGGGTTGTAAAATTGAGCGCATCCGAAACCTGTCTAGGAGGGTATTTCTCTTTACCACCCAGTGAACAGACAGCGGTGATCAACTACTTCGGTTCTGCGCGGATCATCGGTTGTTTTTATTTAGCGCTGACTTTCGACACAACTATCGTTGAACATGGTGTTCTTGTCCAACGGTTAAGTTGATCCAAATTAACCACATAGCTGTAAGCTACCGTTGGCATGGCTCAGTACAAAATTGCAAGTCCTATTGGATCACCTGCGTTGAGTCGGACCATGGACTAGTTCTGTTACGCTTCACTCTTCAACTCGTCAATCATCGGTAGAAATTTTCTCCTCCGTTAGCTCATCATCGTCTGCTCGGTCCATCTGTCTGCGCAAGTTATGAGGAGAAGCTGTGACAGGTACCAGGAGAACCGCGACATTGTGGAGTAGACCAAATGAGATTTGCGATGCACTCTGCAGCAACCTTTCCTTGTGGGACTGAACCCGAAGTTTGCTGAAGACATTGAATCTCTTATGAGTCAGTAATCCTGATAGATGAAGAGCAAAAGATCCCAGTCTGCCAGGATCAGCATAGAAACCGGCACGCCTGCAACGTCAACTCAGGAAAAGCATTAGGAAAGATCGCGAAGACTGGTGAGCCAAAATAGCAAGTGAAATAGAGGTAGCTTCTGCATCATGGCATAATCAAAGACTGTTTCACCTGATACGCAGTACCGGAGGTCATCGCATATTGGTCAGTGAGACCATTTGCGATAAAAGTGGACAGAAGATCCGCAATCAAAAAGAACGACTTGATCCTTGGGCAGAGTATTTTAGTGAACAATTCAATTGGCCTAGTGTTAATGCGGTCATTTCAGCAATTGCAGCGGAAACCCCATGGGTGGTAACTTGTGAGTCCTCATCGAAATTGGAAGTACGAAGCTGCATTCAATCATTTAAGAAAGGGAAGGCTGCGGGACTTGATGGGATTCTTCCTATTCTTTTTAAGATGGGCGGTGATTCTCTTGTCGACTCGATTACTAGCTCACTTCGCAGCATTTGGTCGGATTAGTATATCCCCTTGACGACGGGTGAATCGTTGATCGTCCCGAGCTTCAAGAAGGGATCATGCAATGACTGCGCAAACCACCTCGGGATTAGTTTAGTTCCGATAATCACAAAAGTGTTGACTTCTGTGATACTTCGCCGCCTGACCCTTTTAACGGAACAGCAAGCCGGATTCCGACCCGATTGCAGTTGCATCGACCAAATCTTTACTCTGCGTTAAGTCCTCGAATTGCGTCACGCGTCACGACTAACATTCGCGGTGTTCCCAAACCTAAAAGGATTTTTCGATTCAGTTGACCGTGAAGCTCTTATGGGGTCGCTACTTCGCAAAGGAAGACCGCGGAAGTATGTCAACCTATTGCGGTCGCCGTACCTGTATACTTCCGGTAGCGTAAGGGCCTACGATAGGCTAAGTAAATCGTTTGAAACCAGGAGCGGTGTTCTTCAAAGGTGCCCTATTTCGCCGTTCCTGTTCAATTTCATCCCAGACGAAATACTGGAGAACGCACTTAGTGGTCTCGAAAATATTGGTATTGAGTGAGCAGCTGGAGAAAATCTGTGCGGTTTATAGTACGCTGACGACATCGTTTGTCCGTTCGAATGTATGGGGGATGCGAAAAGCGTTCTTGACAGACGTTCAAGCTCTGTAACTCTTTTCGGCATGCGCTTTGCACCTTATAAGTGCAAATTAATGCTGCAAAACTGGGTGTTGTTTACCCCAGTGTTGATGCTTGATGATCACGATTTAGATATAGTGGGGTATTTATTCTACTCATGTAGCTGCGTGACAAACGACGGTAGCGTATTCAAAATTTCCAAGGCTCAAACAGCTTATGCAAGACCTGAACACCTTTGGTGCAGCCGCGATGTCTCGTTGGAACTGAAAGGTCGTGCTTACTTCGCCAGCGTGCGGTCAGTTCTGCTTTATGGTTGCGAGACCCTAAATTTGCGCGTGGAAGATGTTCGTTGTCTAAAAATCTTCGACTACCTATGTTTACCTAGTTTGGCTTGGGTTGGATGAAGCGAGCGTGTAAGTAACTCTAAGATAATGCTTCGCGTATATGGAAATGGTTCNAAATGGTTCACATAGATCACATATAATGTGTTCTGTGTCTCCGTAACACGCATACAGGACCCTACTTCAATCATCTCCCTGCATTCTCCAGATCCAACCTCACCCTCGGTTCACTCTCCATGTGTCAGGCAATTCGGCATCCGAAGCTTGAAGTGTTGCTGGTGTACAGATTACGCTGAGTGTCAAGACTGGGCGTTCACTCCTCAACTAGATCCCGGTTAGTAGCCGACTTTGCGCTCTACGTCTGGACGGTTCAGTACGGATCAACAGGTACAGAACGAGGCGTTGATGCTTATTAGCCGTATCCTTATATAAACCGACTGATTGTGGTTCATCAGAAAAAAGGATGAATTCTATAAGGACCTCTACCAACTGCTCCAAAGTGTTCTGTCAACGGACATAATGGTAGTCGCCGGAAACTTCAGTGCTCAAGTGGGATGGCCGGAGGAATCAGAAAGGCTACTTGGTGTTTCACATGCAATCCCAGATAACCGGATTGATAACGGAGAACGCCTACTCCAACTTTCCGCTGACCACGGACTGCTTTTATCAAGCACGAACCTCGCATAAGAAACGACACCGCCTTACATGGATACTGCCAACCTCTTCACAGCGCTGGACTCAAATCGACCAAATTACCATCAGCCACCGCTGGCGAGGATCCATTGATGACTGCCGCTCCTACTGGTCAATACCCGTGGACACGGACCATGCTCTGCTGCGAGCGAGATTCTCCCTGTGCCTGATAAACAACCACAGAAAAGCCAGCGAAAACGGGTGCGCACAGTGCAGCGGTTGCAAATCGGCCTTCGGAACGGAATTATGGGATCACCTCTCAGCTCAACCGTCGGCCGGAGGACTCAGTGAACACTGGACGGCAATCGAAGAAGCGGTCCAAATGTCAGTCAGAACAATGGCAGTCTCTGGCGTACGATCAAATAAAAAACGACTGACCTCGGTTGCCTTGGTGGACGTTCGCAAAACCATTCCTTCGGATTCAAAATACTACTAAGCGCTCATATCCCTTAATCGTCAGCTCATCAAGAGTCTGAGGAATGACCACTAGAAGTGGTGGGTAGGAAAGTGTAGAGAGACGGAGGCTGCAGTTATCGATAATAGTCGCAATCTTTTTCGATTAATTCAGAGTACAGGTCCAAGAAAAGTAGGCGTAAATGAGGTAATTAAGGAGTGTGACGACACTGATTCACATTCAGCAACGGCGTCTTGAACGATGGACTGAACATTTTAAGGCACAGTTCGGCTGGCCCCCGTCGACACAAGACACGCTGCTGCTGAGCAAATACTGCCAGTTGACATCAGTCCTCCATTTGAAATGAAGGTTACCCGAGAAATAAATAATCTCAAAAGCTATAGTGCTTCCGGCCCCGACGGACTGTCCCCATCGGTTTTTAAGGATGGTTTTTGAGTTAAAAAAACTCCTGGGCTCAGTGTGGGAGAGGGAAGAGGTTCCAACTGAATGGTGTGAATCGTTAATGATACCGATTTGCAAGAATGGTGACTGATCCTCTTGTGAAAATCACAGAGGAATTAGTTTAATCAACATCATTACTAAACTTCCCGCTGGTATTTTACTCCGCCGATTGTCTGCCGCACGTGAACGGTGCACGCGTGAAAACCAGGCTGGCTTTAGACCTGGTCGAGGTTGTATCGACCACATCTTCACTCTTCGTCAAATTCTAAAACAGACGCTCCTTTAGTAGACCCATCATCTCTGTTTTCGCCGATTTGAAAGGAGCTCTTGACTCAGTCGACCACTCTAAACTCCGGCGCTGCCTCACCCTCAAGGGTGTGCCGGAGAAGTTTATTTTAATATTACGATCGCTTTANCACCAATAACCGAAGTCGAACCCCGAGTTCACTACAGAAAGTGGTGTTCGACAGGGTTGTCCTTCCTCTCCGTTTCTATTTTACTTTGTTATAGATTTAATTCCTGAAATAGCCCTATCCTCTTGCGAGAGTAGCGGCATCGATTTACTTCCAGGTGGCAGACTGTCTGATCTAGAGTATGCAGACGGCATTGTGTTAGCAGTTACTTGAGTTGCTGCATGCGGCCTCTCTGGGATTGGAAATTTGCATGAATCTTAGCATGCGACACACGAGCCCACCACTTGACTGTATCTGAGCTACGGTTCGTAGGTGCGTATGCTGAGATGACAATCAAGTCGCGTCTTTCGGAGCGACGATTATTTACTTTGCACGAGCCTCTAAGTCTCACTGCACATAATCTACTGTCCACTGGGATCCAATCAAGAGGCGCGGCTTCAGCTCTCTCGCTGAGAGCCACGCTAACGTCAGCAAGACCAGAAGCTGCAGCCTCAGGGCCCCCAAAAAGATGCAGGTGAAACTTCACGATGGGTTGGACGGGGACGTCAATCGAATGGCGGGACTAGAGTCTTGAATGCGAGTTTCTTGGATACAACACACATCGGTGGCTAGGGTCTCGAAGGTACACGCTTGTTGTCCTATACGCATCAAGGTACGCACGTTAAATGTGGCTTGTTCGAATGGGCATCGAGGACGAAAAAGAGGATCAAATGGTGGAGAAAGATTCGGTGAGACTTGGACGCCATTCGGGGCAGAACGCGAGAGAATAGAGGCGGAATTTCCATCGGAGACACAACTGGTAATACGATTGTCTGAAGATCCTGATGGCAATGGGAATGTTTGAGGGGGTGAATGTGAGGTGGAGGAAAAACATGTCCGGCGGCACATCACGGATGAATTTTCTGTTCGCATACAGAAGGCTCGATTGGCATTTGCCGACTTGAGACACTTGAGGCGTCATCGCGACATCCGGCTGTCTGTGAACGGTGGAGTTTCCGTCCAGTTCTGGTATGCGACGCAGTCTTGGCTGTCAGGACAGAAATACAAACATAGTCCGTCATTGTTCAAAGACCACTGTCTACGCCGTATTGCACGAGTGTGGTGGGTAATCTGGACATGCATTGCTGAGGTTAGGCGCTCAGTTTTAGGTACCCTCAGCCGCCCAGTGGAGCAAGTAGTCGACACCAACAGAATACGCTGGTTGGAACAAATGTTGCGCATGTCACCAAATAGATTGCCACGGCGCGTGATGTTTTCCGAGACAAGCAGTGTATTGAAAAGGGTCAAACTAAGACCCTTGATGAAGGTATGCAACCCTAATCAGGAGACGACCATATAGGATTCTTCAGGCTCCCTAGATGGGGATCTCGCGTTCATGGTTGCCAGTGGTTAGAGACACTGAGTGGCACAGTGGCACTCTTGCATTTACCCTCTATGCATGCAACCCGAGTCTATGAATTCATGGGGAAAAACTGACGGAGAAATGGAGAAAGGAAAAACACTCAAGTAGTTGAAGTAAGCCAGCAGATCCGCCACTGGTAACTGCTCTGAGCTGTGTAATCATGTTGCTAGCCGTAAGACATCTCCACTCCTAAGTCCATTTACCCATGGTAATCGGTTCCGTTATTGTGCAGGACGAGCGAAGTGATCGATTTGATAGAATATTGGGAAACATTCAGGGAAACAATCGAGTCCAGGCAAGTTGAGCGATGCTACCGCACGAGTTCAGACTGTGCCAAACAATAAATAATTTTATAACTTCACCATGACGTGGTAAGCGTTAGACGTTTTTCTCGTATTCCAATTAACACTTATTTCAAATCTGTGTGATATTCATAACCTCAGATGAGAATTTCGCTCGCAAGACTGGTAACGACTCCCCTCCGTGTCCACTCATTCCCCACCATATCTGTCCACCGTTCCAAAACCACAAGCAGGTCCAATTCTGGCTGCTTATTGTTTCTTATGAACATTTATATGTTCCTTTGTTTAGCAGTGCATTTTTCCGAGCATACTTTACTGTTTTCCTGTGAACTTCCCTGGCTTACGTAAAATGGATTTCGTTACTCTTCCCCGCTGCTTGACAATTATTCACCGTGTTTCTCTTATTCTCTTAAGCGCTCCAATCGTCAAACTGTGTAGTCGAAACCCGTGCGAGAACTTTTATACGATTCTCCTACCATTGCCATACCACTACTCGATCCAATTTTCTCTGATTTGCATCCCGTATAAGCAGTTATCGTTAATCAACCGTGCTCTCTTTTTCGGCTCACACTCTGACAAGAAGAGAAGGTCCTACACGAGCCAACTGTAAATCTTCAAAACTTCGCGTTTTATTGTTGTTGTATACGACTTTTTCATCAGTTTTATCCCAATGTAACGATGAACATGGTTTTTTGACTGAACTGTAGGCATACCGGCTTGCACAAGCCATTGCAATACAATGTAATAATATATATATATATCTAGTATAATAATGCTATAATATTATCATCACTTGAACAGCCGAACAATCTGTTTGCCACCAGTAGATGTGGCCTCTATTTCTTCCATTTTGAGCCGGCAATGGGACTGAATTATATAGAGAAAACATTTCAAAAAGGACCACAAATGTGTAATCCATTCGATTATTTAATTATTATGCATTGGTGTATACACGGAAGCATTGTTTCTGTTCTCATCTTTGATGATTATTAGTAAACCAAGCGGGGTCTGAAGACACACTCTACATCTCTTCATCTCCACAGGCTAATGATACTACAGAGAGTGAAACCAAAGTACACAAAGCACAACAACCCACAGTGCTATCAACTTTGGCAGCTGAGAGCGTGTTGGAACGCTGTGCTTCTAGTCAGCCCATGAATTCTGTCGTCGAACAGATGGAACAAGCGGAACCTGAGGCAGATGCGCTTGATCCCGATGCTGACGGCTTTTACCGTGCCCTGGAGGAGACCTGCGCCACAGATCCGGGACTTCAGGACCAATTTGCCAAAGAAAAAGCCGAGGCCATTGAAGAAGAAACACCGAAAGACTTGGACACATTCCTTCCCGGTTGGAATGCTTGGACCGGACCGGGAACGGAAGCTGCAGACGAGGAAAGACGTAAAAAGCATATTATACCGGCTCCCAAAGTGCGTCGCAAAGATGCGAGTAAATCACACGTGCTGATTCGTCGGCGGGTGAATAACGAGTTTAAAGAACATTTGGTAAGTGAGA